ATAGTGTACTTTATTCAAGTAAAAGTAAACACACCTGATGTATTTTTAATATTAATTAAGAATGATAATGATTTTATCTAGGCTTGAATATCAGTCATTTTGTGAGGAAGCAATTTCCCACCTAATTAATATTAAATGCTCAAATCTGTTCAATATTTCTTAGCCACACCTTTGTACATATTTTTTTTTAAAATGGAAGAGATTATGTACATTAATACAGCTTCATGGATATTGTTTTGGTTAGATTAAATACAAGATGTATTTACTGAATATCATAATTTATTAAAAAAAATGTACATGATTTTACAAGTGGGGGTGTTGAAAAGTTATTGGCTTAACCCACTTCCCAAAATGTAACCAATCATAAAATATCTTCTTGGTCAGTCCAAGACCTCTTCAGCAGGCTGTTGTATTGTAACCTTGGGTTACACAAAACAGTTTCAATTAAACCGCACTTCACCTAAATAAGACTTCAGAAAAACTTAATTTTTAAAATATAATTCCGAAGTATGCATATTTGAAAATTTATAACCTGTGTTTCACAGAACACAACAGAAAAATTAAATTGCTAACATCTTTTCGAAATACACAAAAGAATTTCCTTTGTCTATAGTTTATGACAGTGTTGTAAGGTATGGCAAGAGTTTGCTGAGTTTGGGTGGGGGGGTGTGGGGACACACCTAAACCACTGCTCTCCCAGCAACTACGGGGTTTAGTAACATGCAGAGAGGGGAAAGAGATGGGAGGTAACAAAATAACACTGCCTTGGAAACCACAGCAACTTGAGTGATAAAAATACCCATAGGGTTGACTTCACAAGACCTAACATCTTGCCAACAGCTGGTTTTCTCCCTGCTTTTTATTGGCTTGAGGCATCTTACAAAGTCCCTGATCTTGACCATTTGCAGAAAGACCCGTATCTAGACATGGTAAAACCCGGTGTTGTCAAACATGTTTGCATGCAATCCCGGGACTCTTCTGCATCTGTACTGATGCATGTTCACCACACATAGCCTAAGAAATTATGTGATTTTAAATTATCTGATGAGTGTTTTTAAAAAAAAAAAAAAAAAAAAAAAAAAAAAAAAAATCGATATTGCTGACATATCCATAAAACAAAAACAAAAACAAAAACAAAAAAAAAACAAAAAAAAACCTTTCCTTAAATGAAGAGGAGCTTATTTTAAGTCAGGAATCATTTATAAATGCTACAAGTTTATTTTAGTGTAATATTCTTAGTGAACGTCCGAGAGTACTATTTGAAAAAATTGTAATCACATCAAAATCCTATGACCAATTATTTGGCTGTTTATTATCTGAAGAGAAACTTCCTGGTTATCAACATCAGCTGTGATATTATGCTTAACCTCACTGACCTTTGTTTGGGTTGTTGGAAGTAAAAGGTTCCTCCTAATGGTCGATTTGATATGGAATACTTGAGACAAATATTGTTCCAAATTGTTTTCTGATTCATCAAATGAAGTCTCTCAGCTCCAGTCGAAACATCCTCCAGTGAAACTGGTTAAATGAGGAGCTCTCTCACAAAAAACATAAAAGCCTGAAAAGTTTTTTTTTTTTTTTTTTTCAACCATGCTACTGTATTTAATATTTCTATCAATAATTTTATTTACTGTATCTACATTTGGGATTGTTAAATTCACTGAAAAAGATTTTCTGAGGCAACCAACATTTGGGGCAGCACAAAGAATTATGCTTTATTCAGGAATAAAAGTGTGAGCAGAGAAAACTGTGTCACTCTTAAATTTGTTAATATTTTCTTTGTAAGTATTGCTTATGTGTGTGTTGCAAATTTGTGACACACCCACCAAGAGTACACATTCAAAAACCAATCATGTGTCAATAGCCAGTGATTATAATCTCTTTACAAACTGCCCTTAACAGGAATTTAACCCTGAAACTGCCCAAACTGAATCTTTGCCTGTTTATGTTTTCCAAAAATATTGAATAGATATCAAAATGATGTATTAAATAAAATTAGTCATAAATATCACTGGGTTCTGAATATGTTCTTTTTTTTATATTGACTGGTTGATTGATTCATTGTTTCATTCATTTTTTAAGGCTTATAAACCTTTTAAAGGTTATTTAAAGCCAGAAAATATTTTTAATTAACCCACACCCGAGGGAAGTAGATGTATATTCATATCTTTCCCAGGGGTATTTGTGTGTAAGTGAATATAAAGAACCCAATGAGAATCGGAACACTGCTCTCTGATTAACAATTCTGAGCCATTATCCATTACACCACCTGCACATCCAAGCTTACAGCAACTGATACTCCAAAGCTGTCACCCATTTAGGGACTGACTAGGTTTGAAATTGCTCAACTTCTGTGATTCTATGGGAACCAGTGTTTCAATGTGACATGGCTGTAAGCCTGAACATGTTCATTCTTAAACCTGATACCTAATTGTTGACAGCCAAGAATTTTGTTTGTAAAATGTTCTGTATAAGTTGACTGTATCCAGGCTCTATTCATCATGTAAACCCATTTATTACCATAAAGAGAAAGAAAAACTAAAATACTATAACTTTTCATAATGGTCAGTTTAGTATTTCCTAGTTCTGGACAAGCAGATGTCTAGAAGTTTACTAAAAACAATCTTAAATCTGAAAATAATATAACAAGTAATGTTGAAGTTTAATGAATAAACTGGCAAATCAGTTTTTGTATATTCAAGCTCTCTTTAATGCCAGGCTATACATTTGTAATTAGCTATTTTGCAATTACATGTAGGTGGTTTTCATCATTAGCAGAAGATTAAATACACTGTGATGAAAACCTAATTAATAACACTTAGTTTTCTATGAAGATGCAGAATAGACAGGACAATGCTTAAGTAAATCTTTGAAACTTGCATCTATTTCTAATAAACAGTGTTTGGATTAAGATGTGGAGACAGAGAGTGTAAATGATTGAAACTAATGAAAACATTCAAGTAGAATTAAATATGAACACTGTCAGGAAACATGTCAAGGCAGAGACTATCCATAAGAAAAAACAGGTTCTGTAAAAAACAAAAAAAACACACACAAAAAAAACAAAACAAAAAAAAAACACACACAAAAAAACAAAACAAAAAAAAACACACACAAAAAAAAACAAAACAAAAACACACAAAAAACAAAAAAAAAAAAAAAACACACAAAAAACAAAACAAAAAAAAAACACAAAAAAACAAAACAAAAAAAACACACACAAAAAAACAAAAAAAAAAAAAACAAAAAAAAAAAAAAAAAAAAACAAAAAAAACAAAAAAAAAAAAAAAAACAAAACAAAAAACACAAAAAAAAACAAAAAAACACGCAAAAAACAAAAAAATATACGCAAAAAACAAAACAAAAAAATAAAAAAAAAAAAAAAAAACGCAAAAACAAAAGAAAAACACGCAAAAACAAAACAAAAAAACACGCAAAAAACAAAAAAAAACACGCAAAAAACAAAAAAAAAACACGCAAAAAAACAAAACAAAAAACACGCAAAAAAAACAAAACAAAAAACACGCAAAAAAACAAAACAAAAAACACGCAAAAAACAAACACACAAAACATAAAACACACAAAAGCAAACAAAACATAAATCACACAACAAACATAAAACACACAAAAAAAACATAAAACACACAAAACATAAAACACACAAAAAAAACATAAAACACACAAAACATAAAACACACAAAACATAAAACACACAAAACATAAAACACACAAAAAAAACATAAAACACACAAAAAAAACATAAAACACACACAAAAAACATAAAACACACAAAAAAAACATAAAACACACAAAAAAAACATAAAACACACAAAAAAAACATAAAACATACACACACAAAAAAAACATAAAACACACACACACAAAAAAAACATAAAACACACACACACACAAAAAAAAAAACACACACACACACAAAAAACACACAAAAACACACACACACAAAAAAACAACAAAAAAAAAATCCCTAGATAGGCAGTCTTTAAAAAAAAAAAAAAAATCTCTGTATATTTCTGTAATATTGTAACTATTTACATAGTTCAAACTGTTGCCCCCATCTTTATATTCACCTTCAACATCTATCTATATTTCTGCAATGAGGTTTTGTAACTATTTACATTGTTCGGACAGCGTAGACAGTGGCTTGGTAAAGGGGGAGGACCCCAGCCACAGCCGAGAAGGGAACTTCATGGGCAAAAGGTTCTTCTTTCAATCTGGTGGTATTGCCAAGGAATAATCCACTTTGAATTCTTACCATCTAATGCAACAATTAATGCTCAAATATACTGTCAGCAATTAGAGTGTTTGAACCAAGCTTTGAGGAAAAAAAGACCTGCTCTAGTGAGTCGAAAAGAGGTGATGTTTCATCAGGACAATGCGCAACCCCACATAGCAAGAATCACGTCACAAAAGATCGAAGAACTTGGTTGGGAGAAAATTCTTCATCCACCTTATTCTCCCGATCTTGCTCCTTCAGACTACCATTTGTTTCGTAGCTTACAGAATCATTTAAAAGAAACAGCTTTTGTAACACAGGAAGAGGTTAAAACTGACATTTGTGAGTTCTTCGAATCAAAGCCAAAAGAATTTTACAGTAATAGAGTTAGTAAGCTTGTTAATAGATGGAAGGAAGTCATAGATAATCAGGGAAAATACATTGTTGATTGAATCTATAATTAAATGTAACATTTGGTCACTTGTTTTCTTTATTCAAAAGTTGGACAGAATTTATGGGATGACCTGATATTTAATAAGACACACATGTCATGTATAACATCATTATTGTATAGAATTAATAATTTAGAGGATAAAATTATAAAAAAAATTCAAATAAGATAATAAACTATATGAATATTAGTACAGGTCATTAATTTTAGTAATTCAATTAGATCTGTTGCAGTTAATATGAAGACTATCTTCCTTCCCTCTTTATATGCAATATTTTCATTTTGCCAGAATGACATTGCTTAATGTGAACTTACCCTGAGTATAGGGCATGGAATCCTTCCTCGTGAAAGATCCTTACAAAGGCATGAAACATTCCCCTGTATTTGCATTCTGTTAACCGAGCGTCTATCACTTGCCCTTGGATCTGAAGCCTTGTTTTGGTTGTGTCTATTGGAAATGTACCTGCAATAAAAACAAAACAATTAAAAATATATCTTGAGATGGACGTGTGTGAGGAGCAAAATATTTTTTGTATCTAGGTTTAGAAGCTAAAAAAGTCACTCAAATTCTCTTTGAGATAATTTCTCTATATATATATTTTAGCATTAAATATCCAAAAATCATTTTTAAATTTTCATTTTGATGCTCTGACTGAAAATTATTACGAACAATGAAACAAATGCAATCTAAAAGAAATGGATTCCTCTTTTCTGTTTTATCAGCAAATCGCTTCTCTTTGAATCTTTCCATTTTTGCAGCCTCAGAAAATTAAATTCAGATAGGGGGGTAAAGAGAGAGGGTGAGAAAGAAAATTAAATTTAATAACATTTGGAGAAACAATTTTCGATATTCACCATTGGTGAAAATTTATTTATAACAAAATATAAGTTCAACCTGAAAATCAGAATCTTATAAAATATTGGGTTCTAAAGCAATCAATCTAAAGCCAAAATATAATGAATGAGCCAACAATCTTTTGGGAAAAAAATAAATAAAATTCCTGGCAATGATATCCAATTTATTGATTTATAAAGAAAAAATTCAGTTACTTCTATTTCATTGTAAATTATTTCAGACAATACAATGTCGTTAGAATAAACTGCCCCCACCTAAACTAATAAATTATGAGGAAAAAAAAAAAAAAATCAATAAAATAACAATTTTCTGTTAATTTCATGATGATTGAAGAAAACTTCAAAGAAAAAATTAAATTTAGACTGGTTTGACAATAATGAAGAGGGAGTAGTGAGAAATCTAATTCAGTATATTATTAATTTGAAATCCTCCACATTTAATTGGCTAAGGTTTAGATAAATAAATCAATATACCTTTTAGTCTGCAAGATGTAATAATTTTTAGGTTTATTTTGTTCACAAAACAATTTTCCCCAATACAGTAACAATTATTTTACAAGATTCACTCTACTGGGTGACCAAAAATGAAGTTATTCCCTTTTTGTCTAAAACCTGAATAACAGCTACCAAAATAAGATTTAAGAGAATTGAGTATAAATTTATTAGCTGGTCATGATTGAAGACAAAAAAAAAGAAAAAAAAGAAAGAAAACTAACAGCAAAAATGAGGTGAACTTTGAATAGTGGCAGCAGAGGTTAAAAGAAACAACAAACAAAAAACATACACAGCCATGTTCTCTACACTATTTACATTATTTGGACTATTGTCCTCATCTTTGTCGCCATATTTATTATGTTTCAGCCATTGTACACCCAGGTCTTCTTCAGGTGGTTGGACAGTTGAACTGAACCCTTTATTTTGCTCACTGGGGTAGACTGTTCTAGTTGCACGTGTCATGTTTAATGGATGTTAGTTATCAGTTATCTCCTGTCCTGTATCTAATCAACGCCTTTATCCACTGTACCATGTATCCTTGCCCAAAGAGTGAGAGTTCAGTACTCAGTTAAGGCAGGGGAGAACTTGCAGAGGGAAATTAACAGGAGATAACTGATAACTGACATGGCATGTGGAACTAGAACAGTCTACCCCAGTGAGCGAAATAAAGGGTTCAGTTCGACATTCCAACCACCTGAAGAAGGCCAGAGCATACAACAGCCAAAATGTTGTAATAAATATGGCAACAAAGATGAGGATAATCCAAATAATGTAAATAGTGTACATAATACTTCATCTCAGAAATACAGACAGCCATATTCTCATAGTGAAATAGCAGTTCTCAATTCTATCCGATATAGAACAGAGAGTTCTGTAATTATTTACATTGTTCAAACTGTTGTCCTCATCTTTATTGCCATGTTTATGACATTTTTGGCTATTGTATGCTTCGGCCTCAAGGACACATGGCCCAGTGGATAAAAATGTTGATTGGATCCAGCGACTTGACCTAAAGAGTCATGAGTTCAATACCTGGTTATGGCATTGGTGAACAAAAACTTGGAGATAACTGAGACATCTGGAAGAGGCATGGCACGTAGAACTAGAACAATGAAATAAAGGGTTCAGTTCAAAATTTCAATTACTGAAGTACAACAGCCAAAACATCATGAACATGGCAACAGAGATGTAAATAGAATAGAGAGGAAAAAAAAAAAAAAAAAATCCAACAAGAGCTAAGGCTTTTTTTTTTCTTTTCAAATCATCTGACTACTTTCTACAATTTGAATTTTGCAGTACCTTCAACAGCTGAAGAAATGTGGTGTATTAGAAAAGTGAGAAAACCTGGGCATGACTGCCTTGCATTTTTTTAAATTTTTTTTATTAGAATTGTATTTTTTTTCTATCAGGATTAAATTGTAGATATGAAAGTGGATCAGTAATTCCATAGCCTAAAGGTTATTAGGTGAATTTTAAGTTTTCATGATATAAATATTCAATATATGTGATTAATATTTAAAAGTGAATCAAGTGCAGTGACAAAAAGAGATTATGTTGAAAAATAGTGATTTTTTTTTTTTCATGGAGGAAACTAATACATAGAAAATTTTCTATAAACGCATATCAGGTTCTGAAAGAAGTCAGTCAGCAAACTAACAAGTGTTGCTCAACTTGGTGTACAACTGCTGGGTGAGGAATACCTAAATATGACAGCTTGTAGTCTTTAGAATTATGACAGAAATAAAAGGACTGGCTTTAGGGAACAAGGTAACATTGTCATAGTCATATATCGAGATATCAAAAGATCATTTGATTATAATAATCAGTGAGTTGGCATCAGGAGAAAAATTTCCTCTGAAAACTTTTTGCTAATGGCATTCAATGACTAAAAATATCAGCAGAATGTTTTAAAACAAGTTTTGAAATTAAAAACAGAAAGGATAAGTGTTAAATGGACAATACTCTAAATAATTGTCAAATTCATTGTGGCAAAGTCAATTAGAAAAAGAAAAAAAGCATTATGTATATAATTTTAACAATCATACAGGGCATGGTGGGTAAATTGTCACCATTTTATATTTTTAATTTCACATATGTGCATTGTTTTTGATTTTTGTTGACTGCACAGTATAGTAGGGTCAGTTGGGCACCATCTGTGAGAAAAAGAGCACAATGATGCATATAGTCCACCAGAAATTTGGCAATGGCATCCTGTACTGCTTGGCATTTGTGCCAGAAGCACTAATATGAGCTTTTCAGAGTGTTTGGGTGCCAATCTGGTGACAGTGCAGAGGATTCGTAAAGAGTTGGATGATATATCCAGTCAAGATTATGCTATTTTGAGTGATTACGAAGTTATGCCTTCATTCATCTTCCCTCTTAGTGATTGTAGAACTAAATGTTAATCACTTAAAAATTGTTGAACATTTGCACCACAAATTAATCTAGAAAAAGCTTAACAGATGAGAAGTGTATAAACTGGGTAAAAGTCTGATGCTATGAAGTTTGATCTGTGCTTTATTTGCACAATAAAATTATTTCTTGATCATGAGGCATGATGATGTAAAAATGGATTCTATAAAACTTAAAATTGATTAAAAGCTATTTTTGCCATAAACCTAGTGTAATAATTTAATGAATGTTGATTCTTTCATGTACAACTAGAAACAAAATTCCATAATATTTACTTTAATGAAAGATCAAGCCAAATCATTTTCTTTAAAAATAAAATATTAGTTTTACATTAGTGAGCAGTACTCTTCTATGTTATTCCAAAATATACACTGGAATATTATTCATTAAATCTCATGTTCAATTCTTGATGCCAAGTTGATGACACTCATTACAAATACCTCTTGAATAAATAAATTCAAGAAAGCGTGAATATTGTTCAGCCTATTTAGACAAGAAATTACCATTTGGGAATGTATTGAGCTGCAAAATATTAATTTAAATTTTAGAGAAATGTGATAGCAAGTCAAATCAATTTTTTTTTGTAGTGGTTAATAAAATACTTGTAAAATCCTACATATTGATTTTGGTTTGTAAACACTGTTTTAAAGAAGTTTAAAAAGTCAATCAAGTACTGATGTACAGAAACCTTGGAAGCATTTTTATATGCTGCCAGAGGACAATGAGATGTTCCAAATTGGCAGCAACAACACAAACAGTGCATCAGTACAATTTAAGACTATCTACACAGTAATAAACTTTGAACTGCTGCCTCTGCCAATGTCTACACCTAGAAATTGGCACAAACTGCACCAAATTAAGGTTTTATACATTTTCCAATATTTCAAGAAAGTGAACAGATATATAAATCTATATGGATTATACATACGGTACTCATTGAATTGTCTTTAAGGAGTAATTAAATTAATAATGAATTTCAATAAAGCTTACAAATAAAATTTATAAAATCATGAAATTAAAAAATGTCTATATAAGTTGTGATTAATCGTAAGTAAATAATTCAAGAAAATATAGAAAATTAAAAACTGTAGGCAGGTAAAAACTACAATAAGTTTCTGTTATAACTTGCTCGTTAGGGTAAGTGGTTTTAGAAAAAATAAATACAAGCACAAGCAAAAATAAGTACAGCAATTTTGATATTCTGAAATAATGTTTTATTTTAATACAATCATTTTTATTGGAAACAAGAAATAAATGAAAACTGCATAATCTCTAAACATTTTGGTAGTGAATATATAAAAATAACCATTCACAGACATAAAGAAGGATTGTCTAAATTGTAGAGACAAACAAAACAAGCTAAAAAAAAAAAAAAAATGAACTAATTTTAGGACTTGATTGACAGGCAAAGCAAGAGAAAGTGCAAATTACTCAAATTATAATACAACATCAATCATTAACAATATATCACATTATTTTTCTTCCATACAGTGTTGGTATAATTGTTTAAAAACAATTCTTAGAATATAAGTTTGGCCTTTGGTTGTCTTTAACAGACCTGAAGATAAAACATTTATTAGAGTGTATTCTTTCAAGCTAATAAAACATGGTAACTGATATTTTAATATAAAGGTGTTTTCTTTTTAAATAGCAGTGTGTGTGTGTGTATATATATATATATATATATATATATATATATAT